CGCACAGCGTGCTGACCACTACACTACGAAGGCATGCTAAAAAATAAGATGAAGATGGGAGAAATACCTTATAAATTTCAATATTGTTCATGCAATATGTGTTGTAAAATGAAGTTAAAAAGATCAATTATTACACAACATATAATATATATATATATATATATTGGTTCAACAACGTTTAAGTAACTGAAAGTGAAGTAAGCTTATTTTTTTACCTAAAATCAAGTTTTGAATACAAATATCATGCAATCGTTCTGCAGGTTTTATGTATAAGTCACACTGAATGTCATATTCTTATTACTTACTATGCATAGATAAAAGCCTAAAATTATATTTCTATAAAATAACTGCTTGCTACATATTCAAAGTAATTTCATAAAAGAAATACTGGGAAAAAACTTTATACTGTAAGCATTTTAAAAAGTTAAATGTTTAAAACATGACCCTAAATTTCAAATTTTTTAATATGGATGTATTTTTTCTAATATATTTTATTAGGTTTCGGAGGGGGAAACTACACATTCAGATAATAAATCATGATTATCCTACAACATGGTCTATTTTCGACACAAAATCATCAATTATCATCAATAATGAATGTTTTCGTAAGTACATGTGTAGCAAATCTAAGCAGATACCTGTCAGATAATATAAAATTTCATGTTTACATGTTAAAAAGTAGGGTCAAACATTTTTTCAAGAGAAAAAGTTAATTAGAAATCTAAAATTGTTCTTGAGCTAGTAAATAAATATAATAAGAAAATGCCAACTCTCACAGTTCGCAATACACTAATTTCACCCTATGTAAAATAAGTACAAAAATCACCTCTTCAAGGAGTAAACAAAATTATTTTAACTTCTTTTAATGTGTGTGGTTTCATCAGGAGATCGGTGATATATTTCACTCTCGAGAAGGGTAAACGTAAAGGGGTAAATTTTTTTTCAGATGAGGGGGCACCAAATTCTCCTAAAGCGAAAAGCTGCTCCTTTGAGAAGGCGCCATTTTCATCCCAGACGAAGGCCCGATGTCAGTTGTTACGAGTCAAATACGAATCTGTGGAATTTGCATTGTTTTACAAAAAGTTTTTATATAAGAAGCACTGTCCCTTATTTAATTTTTCCCTCTCTCCTAGAGCTATTAAACCAACGTTGAACCCAGTGTTTCCCAACTTTTCTTTTTTGTGCTATACCCCACCTAAGCCTTTCTAAAATTCTTATGCTCCTATAACATATGCACAATTTTTAATATTTAAAAATTGAAATGTTTACTAAAGAAAGTTGAATGATGGGTTTTAGTAAAAAAAAACCACTAAAAATTATTCAGCAAACACAGTAGGTAAATTTTCGAAACATATAATGGAGAACTAGAATTCAAATAGAAAATAATTTCAATGGTAGTTTTTTTCTATATTACTTTAATAATTAGTGATTATTTATTTTTTAAATTTAGTGATACCCTTGCACTTGATCCTTGCTTCAAAGAGATGTTACGCCAAGTTTCAGTTTAGTTAATTTCAATCTCAAGTCTCTATGGTTTGTTATATCCAGCCGATTTCTTTTTTCTGAGCAGCAAATCATTTATGGCACTAAATCCGCATTCAGCTAAAAATGAAAATGAAAACGTTAATAATAGCTCTCTTTCACATTTGGTTGCATTTGGATATTTGATTTCGGTTTTCTCAACAAAGCCATGCCGTCGCTCCTTTTATGTTAAATAAAGTTTTAATTGACTCATCATTTTGCATTTCGGCGAGTTCTTGATACTGCACATCTGAAATATTAGTCAAATCCACTAACATTGATTGCATCATTCAAGTTTGGAAACCAGTTTCTTTCAGTATCAGTCACTTTACATTTTTGGAGCCAATGAAACTTTTCAAAATGTTTGTTCTAAATATATGTCTGACATAATTCAATAAAGGTAATGAAACTGTAGGGTTTCCTTTAGTTTGCATAACAAGTTATTTTAAGTTTGGTATCGCTGCTGAACCTCTCATTTTCCCCTTGCGTATCCTCGTCAGGATGTAAATTTAAAGTTAAGGGAAGTGAGTATAAAAACAGACGAAACGAGTAGTTTATTCAAAGCGTGAATTTGCTAACCAGCGCACTTTACTACTTTGTCCTTGCTGTTGTTACACTGAGTTGTTGATATGCCTTTCTGGCCATTTAATAAGTATATCTCCGGGAACGTTGTTGAGTCAGCCTAATTAACCTTAAACTAAATTGTTAGTCCAGTCCTACATTTTATCTTTGAGTTTACTGTTAAATTATTCTTAAGTTCTATCGCAAGTCATCGGTGTTATTGTAAGCAAGAAGTACGTGCATTTTTATTAAGAGTTTGACGAATAGTAAAGGATTTCTTTTACTCTTCTTCTGTGCTTTTATTATTCACGCCTGCACGTGAAGTCGCCAGGTTTCCTAGTAAGATCATTTTTACTTTATAATAGCGAAGAGAATAAGATCTTACAAAACCAAATATCCTCGCTTTTGCATCGACAAGAGTTTTATTTGTTCACTGAAGTTGTTTATTTAATATATTTATTTTTCAAAGATATCGGCTAAATAACTCCCAAATGCCTTACTATCGACCTTTAACAGAATTTTCATTTCAGGTTCGTTGTTTAAAAAATCACTAAGCGTATCAAATAGTTCCATAAATCTTTTCATCTTACCATTCTGAAGTATACGTTTCACGTGGTCTTCATTTTGTTATTCACAAAATAGCTTAATAAGATATTCGCATTGGGCACTAATTTAATAGCATTGTTACACTTTATAACTAAATTTAGTACTTCATTTAGAACAGATGTTTTTAGTCTGTGAATAACACCATGCACAAGAAGCATTTTTAGATTCTCATCTTTCAAACTTTTAAGCAAACACTTTTCTTCCCCATCATATTAGAAGCATCGTCTGCAGCACAAGATGTTATATTTTTCATTAGTATAGTACTGACATGTAAGCAATTTTTCAGTTTACTATATACGTATATCTTTGAGGTAGTGATTTATAGAACTTGCTAATGATTTACAGAAGATTTCTTCCGAAAAATCACCTTTATGAATATATCTTACGTAAGTTACAAGTACGGCTTCACTGTCTCTCAAAGATGATTCATCCATTTACACCGAGAATGCTTTGTTTTCGGCTTTTCAACAAGTTGATTTCAATATCCTCACTCATTTCGTCTGTTCTTATGCCAATATTATTCTTAGTGGTATAGCTTTAAAGTCTTTCTTACCTTTTTCCAGAACCGTTTCAAGAAATGCTGATATTGATGGATTTGATTAAATTCTTCCCTACAGAATAATTTTTCCCAGATTTAGCGAAGAGTAATGAAATTCGATAACTAAGCCTGAAGAGTATGATTGATAGTTGTATGATTAGCAGTAAATAGAGACTTTAATGTTACTCTTTTTAAAAAATTTTCTTTAAAATTTGAAAGTCATTCAAATCTGAATTAATATAAGCATTATGTTTCGCCTTCAAATGTGCCTTAAGACGATCTTGTTTCATTGATTCGTTGATTGGGCATTGTTGGCATAAAAGACAAAAAAGTGATCGTTCATCATTTATCATGGGAAAACAAATTTTTAATATTCCTCCTAATACTGTGGAGTTTTTTTCCCTTGCTTGCACCACTCATTTCACTATGAATTGAAAGAAATAAATATGAGATCAATTCAAAACTGAAAAAAGTAATATGAACCTGAGTAAACATAGACTAAAAATGCATGTTTAAATATATATGGCGCATCTGAATTTACATACCATTTATATATCCTATGGTTTAATTAAGTCTTGAGTCCCCTTAAGTTTTAAAGGGGCAGGGGACATTAAAATAAAACATTCTTATTTTTCGTTCAAACTTGAAGATATTTTATAATTACGTGAATTATGCGTATTTGTTTGTATATATAAATTTTTCATTGAATTTTACACAATTTTGTAACTTTTATTGGTAATTTTTATGAAGAGTCCAGCAATGTAAAAGTTTATCAATACTAAAATGCACGCACAGTTTTCTTAAGAACAGTATCAGAATCATATAAATTTAGTGTGAAGAAAATGCAGTAAAAATTAAAATACAAGGGACATTTTAAATTTCCAGAACTTTCAAAAATCTTAAACTGTTAAAAAATGTATATAAAGATTTACTTCTAATTACATACTTGAAAAATAAGTTGTAAATACTTTTCATTTAAATATATCATTACTGCATTTATTAGCTTATAAGGTATTTCTCCCGCCTTCTTAGCATGCCTTCGTAATGTAGTGGTCAGCATGCTGGGCGCGTATTCCAGAGGTCCGTGGTTTACATACCATGTCATATTCTGTAAACAAATATAACGCACGAAACGACAGTTACCATTACATTTCATATATTACTAACCTACCTAATGCATATGTTTTGATTTCTAACCAACGTCGTAAGCATAAAGCAAACGAACTTTATCACACCACTGAATTTAACAAAGCTGAAAAGCAGCTGCTGTTGCCATCCAAAGGAAGAATAATATACGTGTTGTCGCTGTTACAGTAAAAACTAAAATGAATTTATTAGCTGATGCGTGGGATAATATCTTCAAAGCATAATGTGTCATCCATTTAAATACCATTTAAAATTTGAACGTCCCATGTCCCCTTAAAGTCTGGACCAATCCATTTTCGAACTGCTCCCTTTAACAATGGAATTGCCCTACTTTGGGACGTGAGATTCACGAGAGAAAACATTGGTGTTTAATCTAAAGCAAATCCTAGTTACATGGTCAGATTAACAACTTCAAACTGCTGAATTTTATTTACTCCCGAAATACAAAATTCAGTCACATTTCACAAAATTACAAATGTTTTCGAAGAAGATATTCCCTCTTTTTTATCCCTAAAGTAATCCCTTAACTTCTGTTCCTATTTCTAAGTTGAATTATTTCAGCATACAAAAATTCAAATAATGTATTTGAAATTCTCAAGACCGATTGCTGCGTTTATGTTACTTCTAGAAAGGACCGGAACTATCTTACATCTATGATGGAAAAATATGAAAAACTAGCAAAGATTGGAGAAGGTTCTTACGGCGTTGTTTTCAAGTGCAGAAACAGAGAAAATGGACAAATCGTAGCTGTTAAAAAGTACGTAGAGACAGAAGATGATCCTCTGATCAAAAAGATTGCTCTACGTGAAATCCGTATGTTAAAGGTAAAGATATATTTTAATATTATTTGCAATTCTAATGGTATGATTTGGTTTCAAAACTTTGTGATAGGTTAATCATAAGCTCAGAGTTCTTTAGATAGAACCAAAATGATAGAAATAAAGAATTACGACAATGCGGGGGGGGAGGAACCAAGGTATGGAAAAGTAGATGAGGGATGTTTGGAGAAATACACTCATGTCCATAAATTAAGGATAATGCAAAAGCAGGCAAAGGAAGAGTTAGAAGCAAAACAAATTTGAGTTATTTGCAAAGCTTATTTATTAAACAAAAGGTAAAGAACAAAAAAGGATGCTATATGTTAATACTTATTAAAAAAATTAGCGATTTTTCTTCCCTGAAGCAAATTACAAAAAAAAAACTATTTTACAAAAAACCAATATTACATGGTTGGTGTGATTGTTAATACATTGTATGTCTCCCAGACGATGCAATACAGTCCGTACAACGCCTAGCTATGCTGAGTATCAAATTATCGATCTGATTTTGGTGGATATTACACCACTCAAAAGCAATGCTCTCCGAAGTTCCGGTAGACATGTAGGAGAGGTTGACGGGCTGCAACTCGTCGGCCAAGCATGTCCCACACGTGTTGTACTGGATTCAAGTCCGTGAGAATGCTGGCCAGTCCATACGGGTGATATCCTCTGGATTGAATGCATTCGCTTACGATGTTTGCACGGTGAGGACGGGGTTGTCATCCATAAACATAAATTGTACGCCCATGGCGCCCCGAAACAAACGTACATGTGTTTCCAGAATGACGTCCCGATAGAGGCTTGTCATGGTTCCAATTTGAACATGCAGGTCAGTTCTGGAACCAGAATAATTCCACCCCAAACGAGCACTCCTGCACCACCGTAACGGTCGTTCAATGATGTTTCTTGGTGGTAACGGTACCTGGAGCTCTCCATGAAATTCCGGTGAGAATCAGACTGCAAGCTAAACGTGGAATCGTCGGAAAACATCACACAGCCCACTGTTGCGGTGTCCACATGCATGCTCTCTACTCCAGGCTAACCGCAGGCGACAGTGAGTTGCAGTAATGGAACGCCGACAGGTCTACGAGCATATAGACCAATCTGCCCTAAGCGTTGTACATGGTCTGCCTTTGAAAATTGTCGTACCAGTGGCTGAAGAGCGCTGACGAGACAGGTCTGAGGCTGCGCTCCGCCTGTTTTCTTTTGGCAGTAACTGCCAAATACCGGTCCTCATTCGGCGTTGTAACTCTGGGGCGACCTGTGCTGTAACGTCTACTTACATTACCATCATCTTGGACTCGTTTCCAAAGCCTATAGATGACACTCTGGGCAATTCCAAGTTTGTCTGATACTTCCAGTTGGGTACGCCCACATTCCAGACGACCGATAATTCTACCACGTAAAAAACCATCAAATGCGACCTTTGTGTCATAACTATTCAGTTATTGCACTGAAATGCTTATAAAGCGCCTGGCGCGAAGTGTACTTCTTTTGCCTGGATTGCCTTATATATCACTCTCTTACACTCTCGTCATTGTGACTTACCCTCGGTGTCATCTGGTACTTCCTGAATTGCATATGATTCTGAAGATGTGGTGAGTGATTTGTGGACAAGTGATATATTTATTTAGAATTCGATGGCCGCGTGACTCCCAGTTTATCCTTAATTTATGGACATGAGTGTAGTATTATTCGTGGGGACTGCAAAATATGATTCATATGCAAAATTTAATATTCGGTTAAAAGTGTTGGCGGGGCCACCCCAAAGCGATCAGAAGCGTAAAAAAAATAATAATAAAATGCTATTTATAATATATATATACTAATATATATATATATATATATTAAAGATTACTTAAATAGAATTAAATAAGTGCTCACATAATATTAATTGAGAAAATAAAATAATTAGACAGAAGCAAAAAATAAGCATTTATTAATATTGAAGGCATCAATTATAAGCAAATGAGTTTAAAATTAATGAATTCTGAGAAAATTGATAGTATTAAGATTGTGAAATAAAGAATAATCTTAACAGCTTTTCGATTCACTTAAGATCATAATATATGTATGTTTGCATAAATACTTCGCGATATCTATTTGCCTTCATTAACATAAATGAAATAATTTGTCACAAAGACGTTTACTTCAGAAGCATGAAATTAAGCATTGCTATTATTAATATAAATATAATAAAACATTGTATTAGTTATAGACCTTAGAGCTGTTAATTTGATCCGAAATCCTTTCTGAAATTTGAATTTTCACTGATGATGATTTAGTGAATACTTAAAAAAAAAAAAAAAAAAAAAAAACGACGAAAAGAAAAGAAAAGAAAAAAACGCTGATACTGTTGCTAATCTTTACGAGTATACAACAAATCAAGCGAGAACCAAACCAAAAACTTATATACACGTCATCTAAAATTTAGCTGTTGGAGTAATTTTTAATAGTAAACGTAAATATAAACTGATATTACATTGGAATGTTACCACACCCAATGAGACACAACCTTTGCTTAAGAATTCTATTACTTTAATTCAGTAATAAATCTTTATCAAACTATTTTGAGAGAAATTTGGTACGTTTCAATGAATACGTTTTTAACACTTTGGAAAATAATATTTTTTACTTTCATGTTTGATTTATGAACACATGTTAAAAAGTTTTCAGTCTTTGAATTTGGATTTCAGGCACACTAATTTATATAAAGCATAAAATATTTCTAAAATCTGGTCTACTTACATCCTTAATTAGAAAATACGCAAATTATCTCATGTAGAAAATTTTCTTTTTTTCTGCTTCTCTCCTTTTTTATGCATATTAGGATAATATTTACTGAGGCTTGCACATATCGGAAGATCACTTAAATGCATTGCTCAACAAAATTAAGCTAACATGTGATTTAGAGCGAATAGGCAACTGATGGTAAATATACAGCACAAAATAAAAGTATAGTTTTTGAAACACAAGTAAATGAAAAATCGAAAAAGTGAAAATCATATATTAGAGTAAACAAAAGTCATTTTATGAGAAACTCACCTGATACCATAACAAAATTATTATTGCCTAAATCCTTCGGAGAAGAAACTAATAAGCGTCGGTGAACTTGTCTTAATAAAAGGTTTGGGCCACCTTGAGCCTCCAAGAAATCTTCACTCTTCCAAAACATTGAATTAACGAGGTGCTGAATAAGACTTTGAGAGGTTCTTCTTCAGTCTGCAAGAGGCCATTTTGCAATGAAATGTGCGTTAATGGAGCTCTAAGCAGCAACGGGTCTGCCTAATGAGCCCTAAGCATATCGGAATTAAATACGAAGAGCATGCTGGCTTCAAACGCTCCATTGTTTTTCCTTCAAGATCTAGTTGATGAGGTACGTTCGATAAGTCGGGCATTATCACGCATAAATGAGTTGAATGCGGATGGCAGCAATCTACCTCACGATAAAGGATCTAAGAATTTCGTCTCTAAACCCATGAGCAATAACCGTTCCGAACGGCGTACAGGTTAGAATGCCCATCTAAGCTTATACCTGCCTAAACAAGCCCTATATTTCCAGAAAAACGTGACCTTTCTTTGGCATATGTTAAAGTTTATCGAGGATATGATGTCTCCAGATAAAAATTCGTTGATTGTTCTTGTCTAGGGTGTGATGAAGGTGTCTATGAATGCGTTATGTCGATGCTCTTCTTCCGGTTGCTGTTAAAGCTGTCTTTGCAGCTGGATGGCATTTTGACACCTGCTTCGAAGAGTTGTTATTGAAAATTAGAGGTCGTCATCTATGCTATGGAAACAAATTCAGAACAACTCTTGACAAGTTAGAACATTAATAGCAACTACTTCTCAAGACCGATATGTGGCAATAACTGTCAATTGTAACAGGAAATCTATTGCTTGACAGTCTACTTCGGAGCTTGTAATCGACACTGGAACTACCGCATCACGGCAAAGTGTGTACAAAAGGCATAATATATAAAGGTCTTTATGACAAAAAGCCAAGGACATGCGTTTTAAACTGTCTTCAAAACAAAAGAGGGATCGTTTTAATTTGTGCAAAGAATATCAAAACTGGACTGCACATCATTGGTCCCATGTTCTCTTTACTTATGAGTCAAAGTTTAGTTTAACATCTGATTCTAAACGTGTTTACATCTGGAAGAATTCAGAACGCGAAATATCCTTTCGAAGATTAATGAAGTACATTTCGGTAATCCAGGTGTTATGGTATAGGGACGAGCAATGCTAAATGGACGTACGCCCTTACGAGGTTACAGCAGCGGATCTTGAAGAATAAAGATAGCAAAATCAGCTTACCTTTTGTGCACTCAGTAGCAGCAGTTGAGTCTCCGAAACTACTGATGATTACGATGAGGGATTTATTCATAAATAATACGATGCAGATTTAAATACTAATAACATATTTATTGAACTGCAACTAAAATAATATAAGCGGTAAATCCATTATTGTTAACACAAGCACATACAGAAGCTTAATAATAACTAAAGAACAAGAGGATCATGGGCTATATTAAAATCACGTGATTAACATAGTTGACGTGTTTGACGCCTGTGTGTCTTGGCATTTTTAGGGTTGCCAGAAATGAGTTAGAAAACATTTTATTTATTTATTCTGAAATGCCTGATTAATTTACAACAATCCCCCCTTTAATCATGCATTTGGGAAATATTGGAAATAAGATTTAGTTCACTTCTTAATTTCAGAAATTTTGGTTTGGGCAATGGCTTAGTAAAAATATCTGCAATCATAGAATTTGTATTGCAAGTTATCTCGATTATTTTCATTTCTTCCATTTCCCTCAAAAAGAAATATTTAACATTAATATGCTTTAGCCTAGTATTCATTTTCCCCTGTTTTATTAGGGCTATTGTGGACTTATTGTCCTCAAATATCTTAATGGATAGTTTTTGAATTATTCCAAAATCTTTAAGGAGATCTAATATCCATTTGAGCTCCTGAGCAGCAGTGGCTGCAGAAATAAGCT